TGCGCGTCGCTGAGGAAGAGGAGGAGCTTGTGGTGTTAGTTTTCCTGATATGAACTCAGCTGTTGTTATCATCTGAGGAGCTGAAGACCTCACTGTTGCTGAGGATGGCTGTGGTTCTTTTCCAAGGAGGTCTGGTGCTTACCTTGAGCATCGCTTCCAAGTTCCAGTGCAGATCCCTCAGCCTGCTGGCACAGATCCTTCATCCTACTGGCACAGACTTCCTAGCTTCCGCCACTGACCTTTGGGCCTTCCCAGTGCAGGTGTTTGATTCAGACTTGCATGAGATATCATTGTGGGCTCTAGGTCTTCAGCTGGAGGACATTGCTGTGGGATCCAGGCCCACAACTGGATTCTTTGGGTCTCTGGTGTGTGGACAGATAGACCTCCTGTACTCTTTTGCATTTGACTCTTTGGGTGAATATTATATAATAATCCTATAAATTATGCATCCTATATTAAATCTTTTCCTTGTAAACCCTGACTAGAACATCAGGTAATAAAGAGAAAGAGATGTTAACATTGAGATCCCCCCTGTTTGCAGTCCCTCAAAGTGTCAATGCGTGCAGGCTTTGAGCAACAAGGCCCGCTGACCTCAGCAAAGAGAGACAGCCAGTCCTATCCTGCCTGAGGACACAGCCAGCTCCACCTGCGCCTGGCCAGGGATGGACCTGAGGGTGCTCAGGCCTCAGAGCCAGCTCCTCCATCACAGAAAACACCGAGGACAAGGCGGGCAGGGAGCTGCGGGTGTGCTGCAGCCAGGTCAAGGGGGCCGGGCTTGCAGCTGAGTTGGTGTGCAGTGTGCGCAGGGCTGGGGCTGATGCGGACAGGATGTCTGAAGGCAGGTTCCAGGGCGCTGGCTGGAGGGAGGCCGAAGGCAGAGAAAGGTGCCCGGAGCCCGTGGAGCAGGCAGAAGCCTTGACTGGAAGCCGCTTTGTCCCAGTGCAGGGACCCCTCAGGGCTCCCGACTAGGGAGCCTGGGCGGGGCCTCCTGCCTTCCAGAGAGCTCCCGGGCTCACGCTGGTCCAGCAGGAGGGGTCTGGACTCTGCATGGGAAGGACACAGAAGGACCTGAGCTGTCTGAGAGGAGAGCTACAGCGTGGGAAGGGAATTGTAACACCATGCTTTGTGGATGACACGGAGAACTGTAGTCCCTGCGGGTCACTCAGTAAGACACATGCAGCCAGTGTTTCTGAATACAAGGGTTTACTGGGGATCCCTGGAGAAGGGAGTGCAAGGATACTGTGTCAAGATCTCCAAAACCCAGGGAAGCAGTGCAGTGATGCGAGTGTACACGGTGGGAAGGGAGGTGGAGCAGGTATCACTGCCCCAGGACACGATGCCTACCAGGGTCCAGGCTCCATCCATCTGGCACACCAGGGGGCCCCCAGAGTCGCCCTGCTGGGAGAAGAGGACCTCACTGTAGCCCTGAAGGGGTGCCAGGGCCCAGGGTGCCTCAGCCAGGAGAGGCAGGGAGGGGGCAGGGGGACGACAAGGCTGGGCACAGTGGCTCTGCCCAAGCGGCTTCCATCTGGGTGCCATGCAGTCCGGCTCTGCTGTCTGCTCCCGAGGACCCTGTGCAGGTGGCTTCCCCTGTCTAAGCCTGGCCGTGGCCTCTCCCATGGCTGACACCTGTGCTCCTGGGGCTGGGGTGAGGACTGAGCTCTGTGGGTAGCACAGCAGGGGCCTGGCCAGGACCTGCCTCAGGCACCAGTGGGGCCTCCTAAGTAGAGAAGGGCAGGGGATACTGGGGAGCCCGGAATTGTGTGCAGGGTCCCTGTGCCACTCCTTTCTCCCCAGGACCATACTGTGCAGGAGGAGACGCCATTGGCCCCGGCGCAGATAATCTTTTCAGTGACCAGGTCGCCCCAGTAATTTTTGCAGTCATCAGTGGACAGCAGGGGCAGGACTGCCTGCTGCAGCTTGCTGGGGGTCTCAGGAGCTGCAGAGACACAAGAGGTGGGGTTAGAGCGCCTCTCCTCAACCAGAGCCTGGACAGATGCCCCTGCTGAGTACCCGTACCCATATGGGGGCGCGGGCAGCTGCTGAGGACTCCTGTCTGGGGCTCTCTACAGGAGCCTTCTGTAAAGTATACCTCTAGTACCCTCAGTTCATTTGTGTGTGGTAGATTTTTAACTTTTCCTTTGTTCTTAGTTCCAAAATAATAATTGGAGGTTTTATAGAATTTTTTTGAGTTTGTGAGGTAGGGACTTGCTATGTAGCCCAGGCAGGCCTTGAACTCCCAGCAATTTTCTGCCTCTGCCCCCATAGTGCTGAGATTATAGGCATGTGCCACTAGGCCGGGCTACTTCTTAGATTTTTAATTCTAAAAGCCATTTGTGTCCACGTGGGGATTCCTGCTGCCCAGGCAGCTCCTAAACCCGGTGACAGCTCCTGCTGTGGAAAGGCTAAGTCACACTCACGGTTGAACCTTGTCATGCCCCAGCCAGTGGTGACACACGGGGTTCCAGGGGGGAAGTGGGCAATAGCACAGGGCACGCATACAGGGTTCACAGTCTCAGTAAACCGGGCGGGCGTAGCCAACTTTATCAGGGTGATGTCGTTGTTTGCTGTCTCAGAGCTGAAGTTGGCATGCATGAAAACCTGAGGGTGACAACCACAACCCCTGTGAGGCCCTGGAGCAGCCACCCCGCTTGACACGTCTCAGAGGGACAAGCTTCTGTCCTCTGTCCCGGTACCTGTTCGATCCGCAGGACCTGCACGTCCTCCTTAGCAGAGTTCAGGTCGTACTCCCCAAGCACCACCACGTCAGTCGTCCTGGGCACAGAGACAGGCGGGGTTGGGGGCACCCAGGGCCGCTGACGTCCCCACCCCACCCTGGAGCTGGAAGCAGAGCCCGGCTGCTCACTTGACCTCACAGTGGGCAGCGGTGACCACCCAGCACGGGCAGATGAGGGAGCCCCCGCATAAGTGGAAGCGGGTTTTGTCCTGGGAAGGAAGGAGGGGAGGGTCAGAGCAGCTGCCTGGGCAATACCCCATCCTGCCCGACAGTCCAGGGTCCCCCCGGATCCCCATCTCACCTGCAGGGACACCTGCCAGGGCCAGGAGCCAGGGACACCGTCCTCGCCGCTGATGATCCTGGCCAGGCCTCTCAGCACAGGAGGGACGGCGGGGACCCCGCAGTCTGAGAGCAGGGCGAGGGAGGGCTGTGGCCCGGAGCCAGTCTGGTTCCGACCCGCC